GCTATACCAGATACAAGGACATACGCAAGTGGGATCTGAAGGCCTTAGGAATGGACCTCAACAGATGAGTGAGATCTGAGCGTTCAGCCTGGAGGGAGGCGGTGCGGCATGGCCTCTCCCATTTTGAATAGACACTTGCCCAGCAGGCTGAGGCAAAGAGGCACTCCCAAAACCAGCAAAATAAGGGAGCTGGACAGGGGACAGATTGTATTTGTCTTCAGTGTGGAAGGGATTGTCACTCTCAGCCACACTAGATGCTGTTCCAAGTCCTCCATACAGAGCATGTTACCATAGTCTCTTGAGACTGAAAGATGCTATACCAGATACACAAGAGATTGAATACCCACCTGGCAGGTGTCTCCTCTGGCCTCAACTCTTCATTTTCATCTACAAAATAAAACAAAAAATCTGCTTCAAAATTCTTTCCAACAACAGAATAAATGGAAATTTCCCATACATTTCACTTTATACATATTAAACACATCTAATATTTCTGTTCTATGCTGCATTTTTCAAACCACTCTGTAGTCCAAGTGTATCCATTCCCCTCTCTCCATTTTTCCTGGCTCTACTGCTATGCCTAAGAACAGTAATTAAGCAAGTGAAATCTCACTTTTTTCCCTTGACTTCAGGAACTTTTAGCCTACTTTTTGAGTATGAGTTTTGAACAAAGGAATCCTGAAAAAAATTGTTTAAAGATGAACCCCACTGATTAATAACTTAATAAGATTTCAACTCAATGTTACAGCATTTAGAATTTGTGCAAATTAATAACTTGGGTCCAATTTTAAATAGCACCCAATAGCGTTTGTTTATGTCCATAGGCTTTGTTGCATTGGTGCCAATGACAAGATAACCTATCTCTAATTTAGTTTTTCTTTACTAGCAGAGTTTCGTTTTTGACAATGACATCTCAATAATAGCTATGAAAAGTTTTTTATCATCATGAATTGTTTGCCTGCTGACTTGGCATGTCATGAAGCTGTAAAAGTTACTACAGGTATACCACAAGTCTGATAATTTTAACACGAATCCTATACACAGGCAAGATATATATATAACATAACACTTTTTACTAAAATTGAGAAGACAGTATTTAATTTGAAGTCCACAGATACAGTTTTAAACATACCAAGAACTACAAGCACGAATTTCTCTACAACGTAAAAGTAGAAGATTCAAAATAAATAAAAAGTTTATTATTATATTCATGGAGTGCACAAACTGTAGATCTCACTGCCATAAGATGCAGCAACAATCATCAACTTGAACAAAGCTGAAGGAAGACTGAAAAAGATCCTGCAGAATAAGGTTATCACTGGGGTCTTTTCATGATAGCTATCGATTACTTCCAATATTAGAGGAATAATTTTTCTGAAATCACTCCTTAGGAAACATGAGCAGGTTGGCACTAGTGAATTCATAAGCTGTCCATCCGCAGACATCTAATTGGTTCTTGTGCAAAGTGCTGAAAATAGATCTTTGATTTGAACCACAGTTCAGACATAAAAATACTATGTTGTAGAAAAACTATCTTTTTCAGCTGTAGAGCTAGTGTATAACTGGGACTTCCAACATCTGACTCCCTTGTCCATTTCTGTAGATGCTGGCACTGATTTTACATTACCATCATGCCTGCAGGCACACTTTATAAATGACCTCTTTGGACAGATTTGTGCCTCCATGTTAATTTTGTTTTAACAACTTGAATGGAATTCATGGATCACCAAATACTCCTGACCTGAACTATACTCCTGTTTTGGGGACTATCTAAAGGCCAGTGAAAATAAACCACACTAGTCTTCATAGTTGTAGAAAGGCCTGTCCTTCAACTAGGAAAGGACAAATTCCTAGCAAATCATTCACAGGACAGGGCAAACATACTGTACCACCATGGGACATACTCTAAAATGAAAATATCTGAAGTCACTACCAGCTCCAAGATCTCTTATCACCTCTAAAGACGCAGGAAGTGCAACAATATATATGGTGACTGAGGTGCATAAGATGAAACAGATAGTAATCACAATCCAGAAGGTGGAAAGAGATGGAGTTAATGGGTCGGAAATTTGTCCTACGTCGAACCCTTATCCAAAAAACAAGGCCTCAAAAAGGGAATGAAATACTGGTTCACAACAGCCCGTTTCTATCGATTTTAGGGAACAAGGCCCAGGCCCTGCTCTACAAGAGGGCCTTTCACAGCCCGATTCCAACCACGGGAGGGTCGGAAAGGTGGACGAGCTCAGAGAGAGAGAGCATGCTTTTCTGTGAAAGTACTAATGGAGGGGCCCTTTTTGAGGCCCCGCGAGCGCCCACCTACAACGGGACTAAGGGCAGGAATAAGCCTCGCGAGGACGGAAGGGCCTGCTAGGTCTCCTTGGGAGGATGGACCAAAAGGGCCTGAGAGACTACGAGGCTGCCACCGGGGGGGGGGCAAACACCCAAGGTGCCCCCTCCTCCCTGAGGGAGTGAACCCAGGCCAAAGGGAGCCCCCCCCCTCGCCGCCAGGCCTGCAACGGACCCACCGCCGCGGCGCGGCTCGAAGCTGGGCCTAGCAGTTCCGGCCAGGGCCCGCGTTAACCAGACGCGCGCACACACATTTCGGGGGTGGGGAAGATTCGTACCGCCGTAGAGCCACTCCTCCTCCTCATCCCCGGCACCGGCCCCGCTCAGGTCCGCCGTCAGCCGCTCCACCTCGCCGCCCGCCGACATGACTGGTTCCCCCTCCACCGCTCACACACACACACACACACAGACAGAAAGACACACTACACAAGCCGGCCGCGTCAAGGCCCGGCGACGCTTCGCACAAGCCCCTTCCGTAGGAAGACACTTCCCCCTTCCCGTTCAGCGGCGGGAGCGATTACAACGGCGCACCCCCCCCCGCCCCTCCAAGAAGCCGAGCGGCAACAGCGGCGGCCGCGCCAGTCCCTTCCTTTCCCTCGCCTCTGGGCGAGTGACGCGGGCAGGAAGGGGCCGATTCCGCTTCCCGCGGGGGCAACCGGCGACGGGGCGGAGGACACGGGCTGGCTTTCCCTTCCATGAGCCGCCCTGTGAACTCAGAAGCGCGGCGCTCCCATTTCAGTAGGGCTTGGCTCGTCTTCACACGGATATTTTGAGAGTTGTGAGGAGAAGTATGGCCGCTTCTTCTCAATCAAACTTAAGTTTAAAACTCTATATTTCCTCATCTCTAAAACAAGGGCCAAAGAAATGTGGCGGTTAGGAGAAAGGATTACAACTTGTCGAAGTCAGTACTCAAATTTGTGCTAAGGACATTAAGATAGCTACTGATTTTTTTCCCAACACAAAAAGAAGCGCCATTGGGATGTTTATGAGAATACACAAGAACTGTCATACTGCTGCAAAGCTCTTTTCAGTCTGCATAGTAATTTTCTTCTAAGCATCCAGCAGATTATACAATATGTGCCACTTGATGCTCACCAAGTGTCGTGGGGCACAGTGGAAGCCTGAAATTCATCCTATCAACATTTTGTTTTCACCCGCATAGGGACACTCACCCTTAAATTTACCCATCAGTAACTCATATTGCCTTCACAACCTCTCATACTGAAAGCCTCTTCTATGTATTGCTGTTCTGTTTCTTTACTCTTCAGTGTCTTCAGTTTTTCACACTGCTTAGTAAAGTAGAAGCAGAAAGGAAAAATCAGCTTCTTAATCAACTATATTTGTTCAATGAAGTTTGCCTAGAAAGCACAGCCTTTTGGGGAGTGAGGAGGCTCCAGGTGTACATCAGTTAACTGTGGTCACTAAGTATTGGTGGGGGGAGGGTGCATATATTTGCATTCTCTTTGGCACTTTGCCTGATATTCTTCTAAGCCATAACAGTGGCATTAAAAATAGTTCAGTCCTAGTGAGATTCTTGGCTCAAATGAAACTAAATCCTGTTAATGTTCCTGTAAGATTTGCACAACTTGCCAATTGTGGCTAATTGGTGAGGTGCTGAAGCCTCTAGCGCCTGGCCATGCACCTGACTGCACAACTGGGACACACCCCTGCACCTCATCAGTTAGCTGCAATTAAGCATATCAGTTTGTGCAAACATCAGTTGGCCTCTGGTCTGTGTCTGCAATAACAATCCTATACCAATCTATTTCAAACAAGGGCAGATTCTGACAACTTTTATTAAGGTAAATTTCACCTTCAAGTCCACTTGTTTTTCTAATTTGAGTTTGCTTTTGCACAAACTACATTTGTTTGTTTTTGCACATCTCACATGAACTAGGAATGCACACATTTATTGCTTTATCATTTTAAAAGCCACAGAAGCAGTAGCTAAAAAGCAAATACCTGCTTTAATACAAGATGTAGGTATTGGGGGGAGATTACAGAAAAGGTACAACTAAAAACTCAAGTGTCACCATTAGTATCACAGGACTTTCCTTATCCACAACCTTGCATTTTCGCTTGCCTTTTAACATATGAAACAGCAGGAGCAGCCTTCTTAAACCTTTCAGCCATACTGGCTTGGGGTGATGGGAATAGCAGTCAAACAGTTTGTAGGAACCAACTCAAGCAAACCTGTTCGATATAAAAAAAACATTGTGGAATGGTATTTGTGAGAGGACTCAGCAGGTGGATTTGCTTTGGCTGAGTTTATGATGTTTGGATGCATTTGGAATCTCCCCCCCCCCCTTCAGAACACACAGTTTACACCAGGCAGTGATCATAATGGACGAAAGAGTTGAGATCTAAAAAGAGTCGGGAAGACAAAAGGGACGTGAACACAGCATGTTACTCGGGCCAGAGACAAAAGTCCAGCTTCTCTCTTCCTCCCCTATGGCTGCAAGCGGAGGAATTTGGCTTCCGCCTCTTCTTTATCAGGTCTGTGACCACAGACTAAACAAGGTTCAACGGAATCGCTTCCGCCTCTGCAGGCCTTGCGCGGGTTTCCGCTCTTCAGGTGAGAGGGACCCTTTGCAAGTCGAACAGTTACGTAGCGAGAAAACATCCGGCCTCTGGTCCCGCCCTCTGGCTGCCCTCAAACAGCGAATCGGCGCCTGGCGCTGGGAAGTGACGTCACGCGATTGCGACGGCTCTGGGAAGAGGCATGGATGAGCGGGGGGTGGAGGCAGGTGAAGCTGTAGACGTAGCCTCGTCTGATGTTTTCCTGAATGCTTTAGTTTTTCTTTCGTTTTCTTTGGCCCGCTAGCAGTCGCTTTACATCCTACCATATTTAAATTCAGCTCCTCTGGCCGCGACTCGCGACAGGTCTCATAATTGGGATTCCTCTAGTATTGCACTCCAAGACTTCTTTCTGCTTGTCACTCCTGGTTGCTTCACCCACTCCCTTTGAGGTCCTTCCCCGAGTGCTAACCTTTGAGGAGCGGAAGAGGGTTGTCAAGGGTTCTCCCCCTATCATGTCTGCCCCTTCTGCCTTTCCTGCAGCCCCAGCTGGGATGCTTGCTTTCTGCCAGCAAGCCTGGGGGCAGGTTTTGGCAAAAGTAAAGCGGGCAGTTGTGTTTATGGACTCTGCTTGTGCAGAAAGCCTTCACTGGGCATGTGGGGGAGCTGAGAGACTGTTTCAGGCTGGGGCTGTCAATGTCAAGGAGTTTTCTAGCTTTGAATCAGGTGGCGTTGAACAACCAAAGGCTGTCTTTGTGGTTAGCACCTTGCTGAAAGGCAGGACAGTGGACATAATTCATGACATTGTGAGTCTCAGCAATTTCCAGTATTGTGTGGTTTTCACAGCTGTTAGCCACACGGTACACTTGCAGGCCCACAGTGCGCCCAGCAGTGCGGAGATGGAAGGCTTCAGCCAGGTGGTCTTTGAGCAGTTTGAAGAGAAGCTGTGTCAGTGGATGGGCAACATGAACTACACGGCAGAGGTGCAGCATGCTCCACTCTTTCTGGCACCTGTCTCATCATACCTCTTTGTTGCACCTGCCTTTTCCTCGTTTTTCCCCTTGATGGCTGATGATTTGATCCAGATTAATAGTGCTCGACCAGACAAGAAAAAATTTGCCAGCTTGAATGATGTTGACTTCTCATCTCTGTCTTCAGAGCTGCAGTTGGAGATCAGGTCATTGGTGTCTGATTTCAACAGCTTATTTGAGTCCCTTAGCATTCGGGAAGAATGCTTTGCTGTTGGGACACTAAGCAAGATTATTGCGGGGGATCTGGCAAATTTCTCTCAAGCCAAGACCAGAAGGAAAACTGCTCCAAATAGAGCTTCTGTCATCTTTGTGGACAGAACCTTAGATTTGACAGGTAAGGATCTTGTTTGGTGTTCGTAATTTGCTACTGTGTGAAATTATTTCCAGCAGCTCCAAGGAGACACACATTTTTTGATATGTGGCTGCCCAAATAGTGATGTACAAAGCTTCCAGAATTCTCCAAGTTTTTCAAAACAGTTGTTAATACAATAGTGTGGTAAGTGGTTTACAGCCTGATGGGTGGAAGAACTAAATCTCGAGGCCTAGATGATCTATTGAGGAGGACAAGGAGGTGGCTGAACAGCTCTTTAAAATGGCAATGCACGTGTTCAAAGCAGCCATATGTACATGGGCACTATTTGGCTGTATGATTTGGAATTGTGCTGTTGTAGAGGATGTTTCAGGTGTTAGGACATTCACTGCCTCTGCAACTGCAACCATTGATGCCACAGACACAATGTTAGATTGGAATTGAGATTTCTTCAAGCCCTGATCCAGAATTGTGAAGGATATTGCTATTCTTGGTGAAGAGGCTGCTCCTTTGTAGCTCTTTTGCCCCTATGGTTAGGGAAAAGGAGGCTCAGCCTCCCAGGCTTCTGCCATTGCCACCTTTGGAGGCCTCTCAGGGCTTCCCCACCACCATGGGAGACCTCCTGGGGGTCCCCTGCCACCGCCAGTCACCGCCTTCAGGCTTTCCCGGGGGGTAGACCGGGCTTATCAGGGGAAGCTCTCCCCTGGTAGGTGCGGTCTACCAGGGGAGGGCTTTCCTTGGTAGGCCCGGTCTACCCCCCAGGAAAGCCTGAAGGTGGCGATCGGCGGTGGTGGTTTCGGTTGTAGGGGGCCCTGTGCGGCTGCGGGAAAGGCCGTGTGAGCTCCCAGAGGGCCCCCTGCCGACGGTGGCTTCAGTGGCGGTGGGGCCCGCGGGGAAGGCCGGGTGAGCTTAAGAGGAGGCTTCGTGGGGAGGTAAGTGTGCTGGTTTTTACTGTTTTGGGTGGCTTTTGCAGGGTGGGATTGGGCTGGTGGGTTTATTTTTGGGGTTATTTTTGTGTTTTGTTTTTTTGCAGCCCCAGGGGCTTGCAGATTTTTATTTTTATTTGGGGGCGTACGTTTTTCTTCGGCCGGAACAGATGAATAGGTTTTCAATGCATTCCTATGGGAAATGGTGCTTTGATTTACGAACATTTTGACTTATTAACGCCATTCCAATACGGATTAAGTTCGTAGGTCAAGGCACCACTGTATTGTACTCAAAGCTAGTACAGTGGTGCCTCGCTTAACGATTGCTTCGTACAACGAAAAATTCACTTAACGATGGCTTTTTCGGAGCAATCTTGTGCTTCACTTAACGATTTTCCCTTTTTTACTGTTTTGGGTGGCTTTTGCAGGGTGGGATTGGGCTGGTGGGTTTATTTTTGGGGTTATTTTTGTGTTGTTGTTGTTTTTTTGCAGCCCCAGGGGCTTGCAGATTTTTATTTTTATTTGGGGGCGTACTTTTTTCTTCGGCCGGAACGGATTAATAGGTTTTCAATGCATTCCTATGGGAAATTGTGCTTTGATTTACAAACATTTTGACTTATTAACGCCATTCCAATACGGATTAAGTTCGTAGGTCAAGGCACCACTGTATTGTACTCAAAGCTAGTAATGTGATATGTAGGAGGAATTTATATACTGTATTGCCAATATATACAGGTAGGTTTCTGGCTGGATAGCTCAGTGGGAGGTATCTGGCTGTGGAACTAGAGGGGGGGAGTTCAGTTCCCCACTGTGCATCCCATAAGAGCCAGCTTGTGTGGCCTTGGGAAAGCTGTGCAGTCTCAGGATGACCCCAGAGGAAGAGAACGGTAAATCATTTCTGAGTACTCTCTACTTGGAAAACCTTGGGAAAGGTTAATCAGAATCAACTTGATATCACATTATTATTATTTATTACTAGTAGTCTGCCTCAAAGTCTCCCTTGGTGGACATGGTGCTGATTTTCTCAAGGATTTTATACTTGTAAGAACTTACCGCAGATCGTTGGACCATATTTCTGGAACATCTCAGGATTTCATGTCTATATTTGTATGTTTTTATGTGTGTTTCCAACTAAAAAGTACAGAATGAAACACACACATGAGAGAAAGAGAGGAGAGAAAAAAGAAAAATGTGGACAAATATTTGGTCTTATCAACCTTATGTTAGGTTATATCAGTGTTCATTGGTCTTGTGATGACCGTGGGCTTCTTAGTTCTAGTGTTCTGTACTGTATTAGTGGTTTGGCACTGACAATGATTGCTTAGCCATGCACTAATCTAGCTGATCATGTTTGGGCTCTGTACCTATTACCTCCTTTCTTGTACCTTTAACCTCTGTAGGCACACTGCCTTTGGCAATATGCCTTTGGATACCTAGAGGTCCTGGTGATTTTCTGATGTTTTTGATTAAAATTCCTGAGGGTTGGTGATCCTGCTGAGATCCTAGTTGATTCTTGCAATAAGCGTGTGGTTTAGAATAGGAGTCCCATCACTCTTTAACAACAAAAGTGATAGAGTCTTGCCAACTTCTGGCTGTTTCAATGAACTTCTTTGTTCATGTCAGAAGTGATTCCATGGTGCTTCTGGAATAAAAGGATCAGCTGCTAAGAGTAGTGTTGTTGCCCAGGTGATGTCCACATGTGTTCACCCTCACATTCTTCAGGGAAGCTTGTTCCATGTCCCCATTTCCAGGAGCTGGTGGCAATGAAATAGGAGAGGTGATAACTAAGGTTTAAAAGATGGAATATCTGAGGAGGATTTGTGCATGCCAGTTTGAGTATGCGTTAGAGCTCCATCTCTGGTAATAATGTTGCCAATTTATTTTTATTTCTCCCCATTCTTGCCTTTACAAAATGTTGAAAAGTGGAACCTTTTTCTAATAGTAAAGGGCCTGCTTTAGATATACCCAGTGAGGGTCACCTTTTGGAATTCTTGAAGACCTTTTGTGACCAACTTGTGTTAGATTTTGGAGATGTTACTTGTATCTGCACTAATTGGATAGCATTTTTTTTCCTGTTCAGATAGAACACTTTCTTTTAATTCTTTTATGGATACTTTTTGGATTATGGAACTCGATTCTTTAGTTGCAGGACCTACTACCTCCTCTTTGAATACCATCTCTTCTTTGTTCATATTAGCTAGTAAACTCTTCTGGGGCCATGGAGATGATGTGGAGGATCATAAATGCCTCTTTGAGGGAAGGAGTAATGACCATAGAAGAGATGAAGATTGGGCTTTTCAGTTCTGGATAATTTTCATTCAATATCAAATATATCATTCTTGGCAAAGATTTTTGAGTAGGTAAAATCATACCAGTTCCACGAACTCTTGGAGGACAACTATTATTTGGTTCTCCTCTAGTATTTTGGTCTGAAGAGACATAAATGTCAAGATGTCCTTAGCCATTGTAGGGGAGTGACCCTGTTGGTTCTCCTTGATGGTGATCAGATATTATTTGCTGTTATTTGATATTCTATTACTTTTTAAAAAATCATTTTTGTGGGTCTTTCCCCCCTTTTTTTTCAGGAGCTGTTTGTCATCATGGTGAAAACTTAGCAGAAAAAATTCTCTCAGTACTTCCTAAGCTTCCAAGTCATACAAGTGACGTGATGGTCAACATGATTGAACTCACCAGTCTGCAAGTTGATGATGCGAGTAGCAACATTATAGCACCAGGCTGCTTGGCACAACCAAAGTAAGACTTTCATGTGTGGAAGACTATATATGAGAGGCAAAGGATAGTTAAGAAAATACTTAATGTTTAGGATGTAATGGAATTTAGCATTTATGCTGTTGTACTTTGTGGGTGGTGCAGAATTAATATTTCTTATCAGCATTTTTATAGTACTTTTTAACAACTAATTCTCTTAAGTGATTATCTTGTACACAACTTTCTTTTTGGCTTCTGCCTTCCAAAGATTTTATTTTCATATTATCTTTGCTAGGATTTGAAATGATGACTAATCAGTAGAATATTCTTTCCTCCAAGGTTTAAGGTCCAATCATTCAATGCTTACAGCTAGGATATCAACATAAACTAAAATTCAGTACTGTAATGACATCAGTTAAAAGATCAAGCAAAAAAACCTATCCAACCTAGCTATACAGTAGGACCCCTGTATCTGCAGGATCAGTATCTACAGGATCAGTGTCTTTAGTTTCACTTAAGCACAATCTGAAAATATTAGAAATATTAAAAGAAAAAGAACTAGAAAAATATTTTCATGGTGCATTTACCAGAAATGACCACTAGAGAGTGCAATATGCTGTATATTGCTGTTGTTGATTTCCATCATCATCATCATCATCATCATCATCATCATCATTATTATTATTTTGGGTCTCATGTTCATGAGGCACGAGCTCCACCTCAACAGCTCAAGGAAGAAGAGGGGGAGCAGCAGAAAGAAGCCAGAAAGCACCTGCAATGATGGCTGCTATTGCTGCTGCTGTTACAGCTTGGGCTGGCACAGAGATGGTGCATGCTACTTCCAGTAGCTTCCTGGCAGCAAGATGAACTTATCAGCCAGGCTCATGCCAGCTGAGCCCAGAGCAGCAGCAGTGTTGGCTGTTGTTGCAGTTGTTGTGATGGTAGTGGTGGTTGCTTCTTCTCCTTCTCCATACCCATGCAGTCCATTCCTTCTCTACTTACAGGCAGCCGGCCCTTGTCAAACTCTTCTATTGAAAAATGTTCAGAACCTTCCCCCTTGCACACATCTAATTGAATGATAATGACAAAAAAGAGGTGGAAGAACATTTTGGCACAAAATTGTTGTTGTTATGTGCTGTCAAGTTAGTTCCAACTTATAATGACCATATTAATAACAAAACCCAAAGCCATGAAACAGTTAATATGGATCTGTAAATACTCCTAATTAGTCTTTTGTAACTGATATCCTGATGAAATGATAGGGTCAGCCAGATCTTTTTCCAAACTATTATTCCACATAGCATTCTCAGAAACCATTAGACACAATAACCCCAGAGGTCAGTTTGTTTGAGATTTTCTTTTAATCTTAACAAGGATGAAAACTTTAATTATAGTTAATGGAAGTTTTACATTATTCAAAAAACCATCAATCTGCTAGAGCTGATGTTGCTGTAGTTTAATAAATGAACCTTTTCCCATTCGATGGTTCATTTACCTCAGCGTATCTCATGTTTTGAGGTATGCTGATTTTCTCAGGTATACAGCTTATGTTTTAGAGTAAGTACTGTGCGCATTTCTTGCCCTGTAGAACTTAAGCCCCATTTAGGCATAATAAAACACTAATTCACCACGCAAACAATAATGTTCATATATATTGTGACAATGTCTGACTGTATGGAGTGAGCTGTCAAATATACAGTTGAAGGTGTGAAATACTCCATATAAACCAGTGTCTCAAAAGTGCAGAGATCCTGCTTGGGTTAAGGGCTTCACTTATACGGTTGGCTGACTGTGTAAAGACCTGTGTAAAGACCTACATGTATTGGTGCTGTATGGGCTGCTATTAAGGGAAAAGGTTACATAATGTGTGTGATACTGGTGTGTAGGATTACTGATGGGCCTATTTTCTGCTCATAATGTATGTGACATTGGAATGTAGGGTGACTTGAAGAGTCCTGCTCATGCAATGGGCTAACCCTTTATTTTCTGGTGTGGCTACAGTTAAGCACAATTTAGTACTTATCTCTGGGGTCCCCAACCCCCGGTATGCAGCCCAGTGCTGGTCTGTGGACTGGGCTGGACTGGGCCACAGGGAAGATCTCCCACCTCCCCGCACACACCCCCTCTGCACAGCCCGCTTGCATGTGCGTGCAACTGTGTGAGCTCCCCTTGCCTCTTCACACATGCATGCAAGTGAGCATGCCCCAAATGCCCCTGCCCCTTTGTGCATGCGCACAAGTGTGCATGTGTGCACGCAAGTGCCCCCACCCCTTCTGCACATGCACATGACTGTGTGTGCGCATGGAAGCACCCCCACTCTTTCACGCATGCATGCCTACGCAACCACCCTGCCCCTTCTCAGGTGCACACATGCCTGTGCGAGTGCACGCACCCCTTTGCGTATGCACACAAGCGTGGGGGTGCCCAGACTTCCTCACACAGGTTGCTGTCCTCTGAAGATGCCCGGCCACAGAGACTGGTGAAACGTTAGGAAGAACAACCTTCAGAACACGGCCAAAGAGCCCGAAAAACCCTGAACAACCAATTAGATAAATGTTTATCTGTAATTCTCCAGGCTGTAAGGTGTAGTTGAAGTTTAATAAATAGTTATAATATATAATTTGTTAAACTAAGTCTGTTCATATTGGAAGTATTATACAGTTTTGGCAATGAGCTCTCATCTGTATTTTAGCAATGATGTCATTCCTCATAAAATACTTGTTGCTAGCTGTGGGATCTCTTTAAAATTAGTTGTTTCTTACCCAAAGGTGTGTGTGATCTATGCACAACAGGTGTTTAGTAGGCATGTTTATAATAACTAGTAGTGTTTCAGATTTCAAGAAGGATTTTTGTATTGCTGTAGTGCAGAAAGGTGGCCATCGTTTTCTGCAGTTTGCTTTGTTCAACCCATTCTAAAACAAATCTGTGTTCCCATCCAAAACATCTGGTTGTAGTTATGGAATTATTGAACAGATTTAATGAATATTTATAGTTCATGTAGTGATATAAAGCAGAAATGTTTCCTTAAATTTAAGAAAATGATAAACTTCTTTAAAGAAAGAAATGAACACTTAAATATTGTGAAAAATGTAAACCGCTTAGGTCTTTGGTTTTTTAAGTGATCATTTGAGAAAATTAAAAATCCTAGAATATCTTTATTTTAGTAGTAGTAGTCACATGCAAATATTTCTATGGAGCAATGTTTGTTATATAATTGCTGTCACTCTGGTCCTTCAGAAGACCCCTGTTGCAGGTTTAAAAAATAACACAACTTAAAGAAACCATAGAATTTTATATATTTGCTACAGATTTATGACTTTTGATAGCGTTTACATCTTAAGGCAAGACTTAAAATGCTTTAGAATTGTGATTTTAGTATAACTACAGCTTGCGTGTGTTTTTAATCATCTGATGAGCATCCCTCTGTTTGCATTTTTAATCAGGATTTTAAAGACAGCTTGTTTTGCGGGACTAATATCTAAGGCTACTTCATGACATATGGATACTGATGTGTTTAGCAATCTCATCATTTATCAATAGCAAAACTTTGGCAGCAGCACAATTGTTATTGTCCATATGCTTATATGAAGAAAATACAGTGGTGCCTCGCATAGCGAGGTTAATCCGTTCCGGATTAACCTTCGCTATGCGAAAACATCGCTAAATGGGTATAAAAAAGCCATAGAAACGCATTGAACTTCGTTCAATGCGTTCCTGTGGCTTGAAAACTCACCGTTAAGCGATGTTTCTCCATAGCGCCGCCATTTTCGCGCCCTCGGTAAGCGAGGGCAGGGCGCGAAAATGCGGCGTGAACCTTCCGGCGGCCATTTTGGAACCGCCGATCAGCTGTTCTCCCCCGCTTCGTTATGCGAAGATCGCTAAGCGAATCGCTTAGCGATCATCACAAAGCGAAAAATCGCCATAGGGGCCATCGCTGAGCGAACGCTCCAGCAATGGCCCGGACCCCCTCGCTATGTGAATTCATCGCATAGCGAAGGACTCACTAAGCGAGGCACCACTGTAACTGGGATTCAGAAGAGTCTGTATGCATCTATCTCTACTATTACTGTATTGTCCATATGCTTATATGAAGAAAATAACTGAGATTCAGAAGAGTCTGTATGCATCCATCTCTACTATTACTGGTTTTAATTTCTATCAGCTTTTTTGTTTGTTGCGGTGTTACTTTGAAATGTCTTTCTTCAAAAACGTGGACAGCAGCAGTTTTCAGTGGGAGAAGAAGGCTCTCATACTAAGACTGCACATGCCCCTCCTCGGTCCTGGCTGCCATTCTGTATATGTTTGAGTTCAGAATTCCACTGTTCCGATAGAAGAGGGCTGGGGGCTATGTGACCCTCTACTTGTAAATGAAGTCCATTCTCTTTCACCATGGTTGGGGCTGATAGAAGTGGAATCCAGCAACATCTGGAGGGCCACAGACTACTGATCTTTGCTACCGAAAACTCATAGGAGCTTATGCACAGTTCATCTGTTGTATTCCATTCCAGCAACATCTGGAGGGCCACAGACTACTGATCTTTGCTACAGAAAACTCATAGGAGCTTATGCACAGTTCATCTGTAGTATTCCATTCAGGAGGACATAGACCAGTGATGGTGAACCTATGGCACGCGTGCCACAGCTGGCACACAGAGCCCTCTCTGTGGGCACATGAGCCATAAGTCACCATCAAGAAATGCTTACCCATCCTCCAGTCCTGGCTTTTGGCACTCCCCTCTGCTGCTGCAGTGGTCCAGCAGAGGGGTGCAATGGCAACCATTACCGGTCTAGCCCAATGGGGGATTAGAGGACCGGTAAGTATTTCTTTGTTAATACCGCCCATAGGGGGGAAAAAAACCACAAGCATTTAGCCCTTGCAGTGCAGGAGCAGTTGTTTTTTTCTAAACTAAAACCTCAGCATTCGGTTTTTAATTGCAGTATTGGCACTTTGAAATAAATAAGTTGATTCTGTGTTGCAGTTTGGGCACTCGGGCTCGAAAAGGTTCACCATCACTGACATAGACCATGACATATCTGTTTGGTTT